TGCAGTAATAATAAAACTAGTGTGGTGAGAGCAGGCTGCTAGCCGATTGGTTGGCACTAATCTACGTTAAGGTCTAGGTCACTAATATGGGCCGTGAGAAAATATGAACAAGCCTGAGTCAACAACCAATCACAGCAAAGTTAACGTGGCAAAATATGATTCGCAGAGAGAACTCTATTTGTCAAGGAATCCCGAAACAACCAATCAGAAGCCTGCGTTTGTCTACCTAAACAACCAATCAGATGACTGCGCTTGTCTATAATAATGTAGTTGAAAGATGTATAAATACGTGTTGATTTTCATAATAAAACGATCTGTTGCCTGGCCCTTGTCTTCTGTTGTTACATTTGGTGTCGCTGCCTACCGACAAATGAAAAGCCTATACCCTGCAGTTTTTGATGGAGACATATGGATCTTCGGGCAGGACTTCAAGGCTTCTGCGCAGTTGAGTGGCGTTCAAGATCTGTCAGCGATGGAGCTGCTACTTGAGACGCTGCTGGGAGGTCGGGCGAAAGCAGCATATGAAGGTGTGGGTCGAAGTATGGACGAATGTTCGACAGGGTCAGGCAAACAGTTTCCAAAGTGGGAAGGACCATATATGGTCACTTCGAGATGGGGTTACGCAGACACAGTCGCAATGGCTAACAATGAGAGGCGCGTGAACGTCAGCGAGCTCCAGAAATGGATACAGCGAGACAAGCCAACGATGACGCCTGCACCAAGTAGATCAAGCCGACTTCAGTCGCACGTATTTGACGGGGGACGAGTGTGGTGAGAGCAGGCTGCTAGCCGATTGGTTGGCACTAATCTACGTTAAGGTCTAGGTCACTAATATGGGCCGTGAGAAAATATGAACAAGCCTGAGTCAACAACCAATCACAGCAAAGTTAACGTGGCAAAATATGATTCGCAGAGAGAACTCTATTTGTCAAGGAATCCCGAAACAACCAATCAGAAGCCTGCGTTTGTCTACCTAAACAACCAATCAGATGACTGCGCTTGTCTATAATAATGTAGTTGAAAGATGTATAAATACGTGTTGATTTTCATAATAAAACGATCTGTTGCCTGGCCCTTGTCTTCTGTTGTTACACTAGTAGGTGGACAGAGACAAAGTACAGAATGAATCATACATTGTGCTTACCAATAAAATTAATTTCCTAGTGAAATGAGTAATACTATGGCCGGTAAAAGACAACAGGAAAAAGTCTTAGATTATAGCATCTTTTTTAAACTGCACACTTCTCAAAAAAGTTAGATTTCATTAACATACATGAAGAACAGAAATCTAAAAATTACATGCATAAGCACAATGTTTACTTTCTATATACCCACGTCAACTGTATTCATCTGTTAACATTAATCAGGTGCTAAAGGAGACAGGGCCCGAATGATTAGAGATTGCTGATTATAAAACAGCCTGACAAATAAATGACAAAAAGCACTGAAAACAATGTCACACTTGGTTAGAAATTCGATCCGATCCTCACGAATATTTCAATACCTATGTGAATTACGTTGGTGGGAAACCAGTTTCTTTTGGAAAATCCATGTTTCAATGACCAGTGAATCTTGTTTTAGGAAATTAATAAATATGTACGAGCGATAATTCTTTAATTTCAATCAGGTGAACAAGTGAAAAGTAGACTAGGAATGGCATGTCGATCACTTTATTTCTGTAAATAAATACACACTCCACTGACAAATATCGAACTAAGAATAGAGAAAGATGGTAAAAAATATGTTGATAAGTCGTTAAGGTACAGGAATACCAGCAAGCTGCAATTTGGAAACATTTATTTTAACAGTAGTTCAGTAACATGTTGAACTCCTTCAGCTAGAATACATACGCATATATAACCTCGCCCAGTTTACTGGCTGGCTAGTTATCTAGCCGGTCCTAAGCCCGGGTGAGGAGGGAGCCGTTGGGATTGAAGCTAGCAACTCTACCCCACAAAACCAAACAAACTGCTATAGAGACTTCAACGCACAAGAAAAATATTAAAAATACAAAATAAATATGAAAAACAGACTTATCATTCGCTGGAATCGGAGAAGCGAAATGACATAGCGGGCTGGTGAAAGCCTTCGGGAAGCCAGTCAGGCAGCTGATGTGTTTTCTCTAGATGAAATCAAAAATAAGAATGAGGATGTGGAATGCTCGAGCAATGCACGCAACTGGAAGGGTTGCCCAGGTAGCCAAAGAAATGAGAAGATATGGTATAGAAGTGCTGGAAATCTGCGAGGGCAGGTGGAGTAGGTGTGGACTGTCAAAATTGTCAACTGGAGATTCAGTAATCTACTCCAACCACCCAGACGACAACCACGAACACACTGAGCCAATGAGTGACTATCATGATGTCACCAACAACAGCCAAAGCTCTTACGCAGTGGGGATCAATCTTCTCCTGCAGGATTATGACAGCAAGATTCAATTCAAAAGGAAGGTTACAATTATCATGCAATACTACGCACCTACAGACAAGGCGGAACAAGAGAAGAAGGAAGATTTCTATCGACAACTGCAAACAGTAATGGACAACATCATATATGAAGACATCGAAATCCAAATAGGCTATGTGAATGTTAAACTAGGAGCAGAAAATACAGGAATAGAATTCCTCACGGGTCGTGAGACTTTCGTTCGGTGAAATGAATGAGAACGGAGAACTCTTCACATACTTCTGTGCCTTCAATGATTTGGTGATTGGAGGTAGCGTGTACATCCAGGCACAAAGATATATACAAGGCAACATGGATTTCGCCTGACGGGCACATCAAAACCAGATAGACATCACTTCAATCTCAGAAAAGTGAAGATGAGATCTGCTGGACGCAAAGTCGAAAAGGGGAGCGGGATGTGGGCTCAAACTATCGTCTAGTTCAAGGAACCTTCATGGTGAAGCTGAAAGCCCTCAAATAAACTGGAGACAGACCACAATCCAAGTTCAACATCCTGAAACTGAAAGAAGAAACTACAAAGGACAACTTCACTGCAGCCATCAGAGATAAATCGGAAACATTGCATAGCATGAGTGGAAGAACATTGGAACTCTGTGAAGGTGATGCTCAAGAAAACATGTGTACAGCCGTTTTATGAAGAAAGAAGTGGCAAGACAAGGAATGGCTCTCGGCGGACACTTTGGAGCTAATAGATGTGAAGGGGATTGTGAAAGAGAAAGTGACTCAATGCAGTGATGGACAACAGGAAGAGAAGCTGAGTTCAATGTACACTGTACCGAATAAAGAAGTGAAGAAGAGTGCTAGGAGAGACAAAGGACAATTCTACGACACACTGACTGGCAACTGAAACAGAACAGGCAGTCCACAGGTGAAAGAGACCTCAGAGCATTATATCAGTTAACCAGGTCTCTATCCGGGAATAGATCAACACAAATGAAACCAGTAAAGGGTGGTTAAGGGAACCTAATTAATTACCAAAGAGGAGATGAAGAGAAAACAGTGGACTGATCACTTCAAAGGACTCTTGAATCGACCATCACTCTGCAAATCGCCGGAAAGTGTCATCACCAGCGCACACAGAGTTGACCGTGAAGTAATTTGGAAACTACCTCAACACTATAGCGTGCGGTCTTCATCAATTTCATTCAACAGCTGGCTATATGACAATGCCACGTGCCAGGATCCACAAAGGAAAACTCAGTGAGGCGTTTGAAGTGAATACTGGAGTAAGACAAGGCTGGCTGCCTACTATCACCCACGATGATATTCCTAATTATGGTGAACTGGATCATGCTGAAGACGGTGCGTGGGGAGCGAGGAGACAGGCGTAGGTTAGCCCGACAAGAAGGCTGTAACTGGTTTGGACTTTGCGGATGATTTATGTCTAATATCAAACAAACTCGAAGACTTACAGGTGAAAACCAATAAACTTTGAGTGAACATAGTGAGTGAAATAACTAACCAATAAGAAAAACTAGCACCAATGACTGTGAGGGGAGGAAATTTGAACGAGGTCACTTCTATCACTTATCTAGGTAGCAATCGTACAGCTGCGGGTTGCACAGATGAGGTCAAAGCTGGAAAGGATCGTAAAAGCAAAACAGATCTTCATCAAATTGAAATCAGTATGGAAATCTGGCGCACTCAGCATAAACAACAAGATTCGAATTTTGGACACCAACAACGACAGAATTCATTTAGTTATCCTTTGTAAAAAGTATTTCCAGTGGAAACAGAAATATGTTACTGGTGTTTCTTGATAAAAGTGACGATGCAAAGTACATACCATGCTTACAGACACTGATCACCAACTGATTAAGTGCGCTTTGGGCAACCTGGACAAGGCTGTCTAACCCAAATGTTGTTTAGGAACTGTGATCATTGTTGGTTGTATGCCTTCACTCAACCTGAGGTGTTTCTGTATAGAACTTTCAAGATGTTCACAAAGTTCTCAGATTCACCCCTCTCTAGCAGACAGTTCCGGAACACAGTTTTATTCGACGAATCGAAGGCAGCCCTAATATTCAGAAACACAACGGTTGTTGGCCTGCAATACGTGTGGTGGTGTCCCAACGGCTGACGAGGGTGAACACATGATCAAAGCATCCACTGCCTGGACGAAACTCAGCCTGCTCTTAGCGAATCAATTATTCCCGTGTTTTGCACAACCTGCGAAGCAAGACAGCAGCTAATATTTTAGACGCAATTGGTAGCACACTGATACCCCTTTGGTTGTCACTTGTGTTACGTCAACCCTTTTAAAGATGGGGACGATAATGGCTTCATTCCACATTGATAGTACATCATAAGTACTTTCCTGAATAATCCAGTTAAAGCCACGACGAGTCTCGCTAGCAATATTAAATGGCGAAACGTCAGTAAAAGCAACAATATCGGTTTTTCATTCACCGGGAAATACAGAAAACTTTTATTATAATAAAATGGTTACCTAAGTTGTAATAAGTGGATAAATAAATATAGTGGCTAATATCATGAAATCTTTCCATAAATAAAGAAATGAACATTATTAGGCTTACTAATTAATTGTTGGCGGAAGAGAATGACGTTTATTTGAAAAGAAACGAGCAATACTGCTCAGAGGTTTTTTGATAAAACCGTAGCATTATTGTTGTTATTATTATTACTAATACTATCACAATTATTCTTAGGATAAGTGAGATTAGTTGCAGACGTGCTTGTGTTTATGTGACTTTCGGGTAGTGGCGGTATGCATCCCAAACTAAGAACTTCGATACGTTCAAGAAATCGCCGGCGTTTTTGTTCTATGCTCGAAGGTAATTGAAGACTATTTAAATCCACAGCCAGAAATGAATGTAGTCCAGGTAATAAAGCTGTAATATAAAGAAAATTAAAAATGACATCTCAGGACTAAAACAGAATATTATACAACTGATGTGCAATTTGTCAAGCTTTATTCGACAACCATCCACATTAACATGCATCTGAGAACGCACCGCATATTATGACACAATATTCTTTGTGTGTAGCCATGTAGCACAGAAATACTACCCAAACCTTCATAGATAGAGCTTGGCTAGAACCCACTCTACCGGTCGATAACCGAGCGCATACACTGATGAACCACACCTCCATTACAATACCTCAGGTACTGAAGACGTCCCAATAACAAAACATATGATTAATTGCTGTAAAGCAAATGAATCTTTGTTATCTTTTTCCGTCCTACTTTTGATTACTATGCTAAATGCTGACAGGGAATACCAGATATGGTTGCACAAACTTATCGACAGATTTTCTTTCGTTACCTAACACTCCGCATAACTTCAACATCCTTTTATACCACATAACACGAGAAGTAGAACGTAAAGAAGGACAGAGACAACTGCAGTGCATTACAAACGTTCTTTGATCAGCTGCCCGATATCACACATAGACAAGACATGATGCGTTCGATGGCATCATCGCGTGAGTAATTTTGAGGTTCGGCGGCGTGTGTTTGAACACAGTGGAGATCACCATTCATTGAATGTCGTCATCTGGAAACACCGGCTCCGGTGGCTTGGACATGTGCTGCGAATGTCATCCCAGAGGCTTCGGTATAGGTCTCTGTTCGCTAGCCCTGGGACGGGATGGAAAAGGCGGAGAGGTGGTCAGTCCATGACGTGGCGTCGTGGGATGAAGGATTTTTGTGCTAGATTAGCATCGGTTGGTGTGTCACGACTCCCTGGTTGGAGTCCGAGAGATAGCTCAAATCAATGGCTCGAAACGTTATCGGATATGGCCAAGAATCGTAATCAATGGCGAATGTGTTGCGATTTCCTTCTTTCTTCCCTTCCCGATGATAGTTAACGAACACTGTCTGAACTTGTTAAGCATCAGTGTTTTCCTTCCAGATGAAGTTCTTTATCCGTTCTCCACTTATATATATATTTTTCTTTTCCTTCCTTTTTTTCTTTTTGATCTATGTTGTTTTATTATTATTGTGTGGCGCATCCTTCTTGGTGCCATATTGTACCAAGTTTTTTATGCGTTTAAATAAAATAAAATAAATTGATGTCAGCTCACGATGAAATCCTCTATTCAATCAAACAAAATCTGTACAAAACCAATACTTGAAAATCGGTCGTAGTTTACATATGACCTTGGAAGAAGTCTGTTCTGATGCTGCATGATCAGAAGTAATAATACCCTCCAGAAGGGAACTGTTGACTGTTTTACGTTCTTTTGACTGCCACGCTGGTAAGTTTTCATGAGCACGTCTAGACAACGCCCTGCTGGTACGACCTGCATACTTAGCTCTACGGGAGCAGGTGAGTTGGTGAATAAACACTGACGTTGCTAACAGAGGGATCTTGACTCTGACATATTGGTGAATAAGAACACATGAGATGAAACATGAACATTCTTTGAGTTGCCCTCAACTGGCGGCTTCCAAGAACCTTACTAATCGTATCTACCTTGAGTTTCACATTTACAATCAGTTGTTTCTTCAGCACATCCGGGTTTCGGGGAGTATCTGTCTTCATCTTCGTATTGGGTTACGAAACTATATCGATTGAAATAGCGAATAAATGTGCTACGCAAATCAAACTACCACCTCCTTTGTCACGAAATGTTGGTTGATTCAGAATTTTATTGGAAAAGTTGAGGGTAGTCAGACAGAAGCATGACACCAACCCATGAATTCTGACGTACGGAGGTGTAGAGTACCTGGTTGGAGTGTTCAAGATGTTACGAAGCAACGGCCACAGACTGTTGATGATATAGCCCAAAATGTTTTCTAATGGTACAGATGTATTCACTTTTCGTAATCTCCCACATTCACGAAATCTTCATGCCTCTCCATGTATTCTTTGTCCCTTTAATTCAGTATAGTTCTTAATCTTTTTGCGTGTTACATAAGGTGCACTGAGAATTAGTCAGTAAGTAAATGAATGCTCCACGTTTAAACATTCAACCATATGAAGACTCATAAGAAGAAGACAATCTGAAATATCGGTTAACATTTGCAACCAGTTATCTAAAACCTAAGCTTAAATCTATTACAACATAACCAAACGTAATACCAAGGATTTTAAACAGCTTATGTATGAGTCAGGCTAACGTGCATTTTTAAATTCCAAAAGGAATACAGCGAAAGTCCTAAAGCTTAAAAAATACATTTCACTTTACAATAATTGTCAGTAACAAACATTTTCACGTGTACAGTTAAGTGAAATCCTACAAGCAGATTGCTTTTGTCTACGAGGCCTCAGAAATAGATTAGGTAGAGAAATGAAACTTAGACACGTGAAGATTATTGTAGCATTGCTTTGCTGTCATTTTTGTGTAATCTCTATAACAAGGTATGGACGCATTACGCCACAATGTTCTTGTTGATCACTACTATATACGAGACTACCTACGATGCAACACACGTTACCGAAAAATTAAAGCAAAGTCTTTTAAGATTTCAGTTTCGAAACTAAGGACCATATTAGCTCCTTACTCTAAATACACTTCATGATTTTTTTCTATTAGAGCTTGATTTCACACCTTATTGTTTGGTATAGAATTTTCAGCATGTGATACCGGTAGCCCAAATTTTGCAGGCTGACCATAGATATCAGGTGTGCGTCGGCAGGGGATCGAACCTCGGACCATGTGCATGGTCGGCGAGAGTCCTAGCCAGTGCTACCAACAATAAAGTATTCAAGACAGCAGTATAACATGAATGCATAGAAACTACACAGGATGATGGTCACAAGGTTGTATGAAACACTTAATATTCCCTTGTAGACGTAAAGCACTCGCTGATTAGCTGCAGTGATGTGTTCAAAGTTCCATCCTTCGAGGAACAACTATTAACGGGTACCATATCACGGTTGGTAATGAATGATTTTCAACAAGATAGCAACTGGGATCTCAATATTTTTATTTTTTAAAAAGCTCCCGGTACTCATGTGGAAGAAATGATTCGTGGCATCAAAATAACTACGCGTTTGTTGTTCAATTTTCCATGTGATAGCCAGCTGGGAAATCACTAAAGCAGGCAAGTGACTCATATTCAATACGCAGAGAAAAATGAAGTATTTCTTCCCCCTGATATTTGTCATTGGTTTTAAATCGTAACTACAGGAAGCAACCATACACATTCAAACGGTGCTGTAAAATGAAAATTCACACCTTTGACCATTTAGAATGATATATCTCAAAAGTCGAATTCCATAACTTAGGAACAAATAACAAATATTGCGACAGATATTAATGCATGAAAAATAACACCAAGAAAGTAGGCACGAGCCTTTAAACTTTGAGATGCACTCACACTCAATAGGAGTCATAACAATGCGACAAAACCTTGAACCACTTTAAATCCAGCGGTACTACCTCGCGATTGGAATTGACATTGAATAAATGACTGTCATATTATTTTAAAAACTCTAATACTCACAGAGACACATCAGCAGATTTAGGAGATTGAATGTTTTGGATTGTACCACTTTAATCTAATTTCCCTTGGTTCACTACATCCAAAGCTCCAAGTATCATTAGGAACATCATGTCCATTATGGATAAGATTTTATTTTGATACTGTATAACACTGTGTGACTTGTCAGAAGAAAATCTCATCCATGATGGAGTTACACCCCACCACAGTGCCCAAGTCTTATGTTTATATCAAATAACTTCGTGGGTCTGAATTAAATCATCATAGCGCCTAATACTTTTAATCCATTTAATATGCTACTAAATTTGTATGTGTCTTATATCGTCTGAATAAAGTAACACAAATCAAGTATAAGTCAGCTATTTCCCCAATAACAGGGGCAGACGTTCCAAATTAGCCAACATAATTTCCGTTACCAACAGGGAAAATGATTTTGAAGAACGACTTTTACACGAAACAGAACCATTTGAGGATGGCCATTAGGTTTGTTGTTTGTTTTGCATTTCACATGAATAAAAATTAAACGTTGTGGCTTTTAGCTGCTTAGTGATCTAACTGCTTTCTAGTACGAGATTTGGCGTTATCTGGGTCTTAGGAAACCGCAAATACAGGTTGGCGAAATTATACTTTTAAGAACAATTTAACCGCTTTCATTGAAATTCAACTGTATATGATTTGTAAGTTTGTTTATTAGATGTATCATACAACGAAACAGTATTATGTGCTGGGTGACGCTTCGAATAAAATTAGTTGTTCGCAATCATATCAATTATAACCACACGAATTCGAAACGTGAGCTTTATATTTTTCTTCGTCTCCTCATATTTGTCGTAGGGGTAGTAGAGTTTTCCAGGTATCTGGGACAGGTGTTGAATCATTCCTATTACATGTATTTGCGGTTGATTCAATGAACAAATCTTTCGTTATCAACCCCTCCCTCGACCCTCTGACATTAGATTTTAAAACTGTCATCCTATCCCATCCTATTTTATGGTTGCCTGTGGCTGCATGTAGTGCTATAGCTGAATTATTCTCTGCATTTCTTATCTCATTCGAGTCAACCAATCTAGATTTTGCTAGTTTTTATGTTTGGCTAGTCTGACTGCCTCTGTTGTACTAGTTTGACCTATGTATTTGACATGACAATCATTTCAGAGTATTAGATAAACTAAATTGTGTTTTGAGGGATCCACAGGATCCTTTAGCCGACAAAGCTTGATTGAAATTGAGTTTGTGGGTTCGAATGCTACTTTTATTCCTGCCTTGTTAGGAATTCTGGGTAAGTTTCCGAGGTTCGTTCTGTGGATAAACAACCACACGATAAGATTGGATAGGATGAAAGCTTTAAAATCTAATGTCAGAGGGTCGAGGGAGGGGTTGATAACGAAAGCATTGTTTATCGAATCAACTGCAACTATATGTCATAGGAATGATTCAACACTTGTCCCAGATATCTGGAAAACTCTACTACCCATATGTCAATGTAGTTGAAGATTGAACGATCAATTCATGGTTGTTTGCTCAAACAAAACTTCCTCATATTTTCGCCGAGGCATCAATACACCAGTCATAGCCTCATCGTTCGCTGTTCAATAAAAATATATCGAAACAGTCGGGAGTAATATCGTGATTTATTATTCAAACATTTGTTCATAGACCTTAGTTGTAATATTGCCTAAATGTTGGTGTCAGCCAAGTCTCGTAAACCGTTAATGCCCAGCTCTTGCTACGCTCGGGCTGACGCTGTCGCTTGAAGTTTCTCAGAAACGCTTAGTAATAACGGACGAAAAAACAAAACACCAATTGGCGACTCGAGGATTCTTTATTGTTACACCAACATATAAACAATGCTACAACTAAGGTCTGTGAACAAATATTACAATAATAAATCACAGTATTACTTCTGACGGTTTATTGCTGACTTCTTTCTGAACAGCGACCGATGAGACGATGACTGTCGTATTGATGCCTCCGCGAAAATTGGGGAAGTTGGTTTTGAGCAAACAACCATGAATTGATCGTTCAATCTTCAACTACATTGACAATATCTTTCGTCCTTTCAAATGCACCAATACTTTCATAGTCATTGCACAAGAGACTTGAGTTGATGGGCGACTGTTTCATTCAGGATGACAGCACCAACGATGACCGATTGATACCAGTTGATGAAGTTAGCGGTGGATCAGAATCTGTTGTTGCTCGACTTTCAGAAAGTTGTCTACCTGCAAGACCACCACCACTGGTGTCTTTTAGTATCAGCTCAGGTTTAACACTAGCATCTGATGATAGGTGGGCTACATGCTGATCAATTAAACTGACGGTCTGACAAGTATGCATGCCTTCTGCAACTGCATCTGCATTTATTTCCACTTCACGTTCAAGTTGTACAGAACTTTTTTTCAACTCAGCAGTAGTAATAATAATATATTCTCATATAAACATATAAATTTACATGAAAATGCATGCCATTTTTACAGGCACGATCAAGTATGATATAATATCAAATCGTAGATTGTCTACAAGTTAATAATGTTTCAACAGTTAAATATTTGATATATATATAAATACACATTGTCTGAACTAGGCTGTATAGTTATTGAATTGTACAATTGTCCTCCAGGTTGAGCGGGAAAATCGACTTCGTTTCGTTTTCATCCCGTGGTTGTCGGCATACGATAACCAACCAATATTGAGGTAAGTACAACGTTTACAACGGATTGAAAGCTGTTTTTAGAAAAGTAAAAGTGCTAAGGTGAATCAATAAAGTGTAATGAAATGGGTAAGTGCAAGTATCACTAATAAATGCATTAATATAGAAAACTCCCTAGGCTGACAACGTTCATTTGCAATGTATAATGCTACCAATGTAGTTCGTACTATCATGATGTCCACTTTTGGTTTTAATACATTTTTTCCTTATGTCTGTTTTTTTATTTTATGCTTTTTTGTGCATTTGGTGCACAACCGTACCTCACAGAGAATAGGAATAGAATAAGTCGAATCAAATTCATAAAGAGCTATAAAATGTTAGGTTTAATGGGATACAATGAGGATTAAGTAAAGACGTTATTAGAAAATGAATCCGATAAGACATTGTGAAGTGGTATTTAAAGATCCGACAATGGACAGCAAGTTGATTTATAAGATGCCCCATAAATCTGTGCAGATCCCACATGGTCGCATCTCAACAATAGGCTGAGCGAATGGTATATATTTAAAGGTAGAAGCATGATCTGTCAAGGCGTTCATTATTATCTTTTTCAAGATAAAGATCTAAGCCCTCATAAAAATCAGAAATATCTCGAGCCTTTAATTTGTATATTGCTGTTCCTGCAGAATGGGGCGATTCACCTTAGTGACCCCCACCATATCTACTGATCAGCTAACGCCACCCTCCCTCCTTTTTTGATGTTAAGCTCTGAGACTATGATTATTATGGCTACCGCAAATATACTGCTTGGTACCAGACATGTTCGTACCCCATATTCCATCTCCCTAGCTTTCTTAATGAGTGCTTCCAATAGGTCTCCACATACATCTTTATGAACATTATATATGTATGCATGCGTCCTAATGAACAGATTACTTTACAAGAAGTTAAAACCTTAAAGAATAAAAAGAATAGGTTTTGTGAATAGTGAAGCAAGATTCAGCAGAACAATATAGTTAGGGATCAATGTAGGTAGTATGAACTGAAGGTAAGGTCGGTTGGCAGGACTTAGTGTACTAAATTATCATGACAGTCTTGTATATAGTAGACATCTGACATTGCAAAGTAACGTGTCTAAACATATTATAAAAGATATTAACAGAAATACTACATAGCTTTAACATTATGAATTTTAGAAAATTATATGAGAATGGGTAACTGTTGACTGAAGATAATCAATTCAACTCAAAAATAGTGCAGTGTATTATGCTAATAATATAAGTATATTCGTAAAATATTAAAAGATATGGTTGCTAATGTAATGGTTTTCGGAAATAATTATACTGACGAACTTATTGAAGATTACAGTGAAGAGGAAACCAGTGAGTTAGTTAAATGGCTACTGTGCAGTTAGTAGTTAAAACGTCTTTTTTAAAAAGTAAAGGGTAGAAGAGTTTTGAGCACCGGAGCAAATTAAGTCATATTCTACTGAGTAGAGTGTAGTGAGTAGTGGTACGATTAGGGATAAGGGTAGGTTGAATGAACTTGGGGAAAATGGTTGGTTGGTTGAGTTTGTTATTGCTAGGTATTCCTGGCCACTTTTCATATGGCATGCTTTAGACATTACAAAGTACCAGTTTGCTTATATTATGGGAGAACTATCACAACTAATTTGGGATTATACATCCAGGAGAGTCTAATGAGTTTATAAACCCGATTGAAGAAATATCGATAGGATCTCTAGTAAGCTGAATAACCGGACCTTAGGTAAAGGCATGTGGGAGAGATTAGGTTGGTTTTATCACGTTATAGATGAGGTACGGTTGCCGGGGCAAATGAGTTTCCTCAAATTGGGGGTATTGCACTGGGGTCTGTAGTACTAAAGCTAGTTGAGCGGCCCATATGGATAAAGTATGGATAAGTAGACCGAAGCTCTTTTGTTGATAGGAACTCGTTAAGTAGACGCTGGAATTCAGTAGGAGATCGGCAACTACGTACAGTAAGTGGAAGTTCGTTCCATAATGCACTGTACTGTATTTTAAAGAAACGTGATCGCAGTTTTGTCCGGAACCGGCTTATGGATAGAGTATTTTCATGATTCCTAAGAGTATATATGGGTAAATTGTTGAAAGCTATTGGATTACTGCTTTTGGTGTAGCCGTGTAAAAGGCGAAAGAGGAATGTAAGGTTGAGTTTCAGGCGCCTTAACCAAAGTGGCTGAAGTCCATACATTTTGCACCTAT